TTGTAAGAGCAATGTGATGGAATCAGCATGTGTAAAAATACCTTTGCAGAAAAATTAACTCCGGATTTTCCAAAGATTTTTCGAAACAGCGAAGACGAATCAACAAATCACCATCTATCATATCCGCATTACAAGGGGTGTTATTGAAAAGCGAAGGTTTGCAATCTGGATCGTTATTGCACGTAGTCGTAATAGGTCAACTAGCATGTTTACCAATAAAAGTCCACCCCAAATAATACGTAGCCCACATATCTTCCAAAAAATGACAGAATATCAAATGCCAAAAGTCGTTTATTGAGCCAACAATACCACAAAATTTAGACTTTCGACTTGGTTCTTGCAGGACAATGACAATAACTGGCATCCTCTCCTGGTGTCCCCATGGGTCCAGTTGGCCCATCAAAACCTGGTGGACCCTCCGGTCCCACTTCTCCTGTAGGTCCTGCAGGTCCTTGATTGCCAGGTATACCCTAAACACGTACTTATCTGCAACAATTTATGAGATGATTTAAAAATGTTACCGGATTCCCAGCTGGTCCGTCTTGACCAGGAAAGCCAGGTGGTCCCATAGGTCCACGCTCTCCAGGTTCTCCCGGAAGCCCTTTACCCATTGTAGCTCCATCGCGGCCCTTGTCTCCAGGTGGTCCGGGTTTTCCAGGCATTCCAACTTCACCTGGCAGTCCTGGATTTCCAGGCATTCCTGGGTGTCCATCTGGTCCAGGCATGCCATCAGTGCCGCTAGGGCCTTCAAGTCCAGGAGGGCCTGCTAATCCTTGAGGACCTGGGAAGCCTGGCGGTCCATTGGGACACATGCGACAGTGAGCTACATGGTCCATTACTACAGATGGCATAACACCGCTCATTCCTGGTGCTCCAGGAGCACCAGGCAAACCTGGCGCCCCATCGAGACCAGGAGCTCCGGGTGGTCCCGCTGGTCCAGGAGGGCAGTTAGAGTTTGCGTTGCAGTCTAAAATTAATTTTCCATCGGTTTTTCCCAAACACGCTGCAGAAAATACTTACTGCAGTTATAGCTCTGCCTCTTCGTCCTAGCTATAGCCTGTGCAATCACTCTCTCGCCTTTCATGTTTGTCCAAACCCCATTTTGCAGATGCCGGAA